GGTGGACACAACTCTGAGCACCCTGCTCTAGCTGGGGATGTCCCTGCTCCCTGCAGGGGTTGGACTGGGTGACCTTTGAAGGTCCCATCCCACCCAAGCATTTAGCTCTTGCTCAGCACTGCTCAGATCCCCTCTGAGGCTTCTCTTCTCCAGCTCAGCAGCCCCAGGGCTCTCAGCCTGGCCTGGCACAGAGATGCTCTAGCCCCTCGGCAGCTCCACAGCCTCCACTGGACTCTCCCCAGTGGTTCCCTGTCTCTCTGGAACCAGGGAGCCCAGCCCTGGACCCAGTACTCCAGAGGTGGGCACCAGGGCAGAGCAGATGGGAGAAGAAGCTCCCTTGACCTGCTGGCCACCCTGCAGGCCATCCTGCACTGCAGGACACCCCTGGCCTTCCTGGACACGAGGGCCCCTTGCTGGCTCATGGTTAATAACTCATTGTCCATCGGGTCTCCAAGGTCCTTCTGGGACCTTCAGTCCTGACAGGCTTCTTTCAGGGTGTAGGTGGGAGCTGCCAACCAAAGATACTGGCAGCTGGGAGCTTCCTTTGCAAATAACTGCAGGTCACCGTGACCCTGGCAGGGGCTGCAGAGAGCTCCAGGAGCCCACACTCGGTGCCCCCACGCAGAGAGGAGAGTTCTGAGAACTCTGCCCAGAGCTGTGGGGCTGCAGGCAGCTGAAGGGGGGTGCCGAGTCTCCCCTCAGCCAGATTCACTCAGGAACTTTGTGCTGCCTTTGTGGAGCAGGGTTGAATGACCAGACTGAGCTGCAGTGGGTGCTTGCCCGCTTCTCCCTCGGAGCTGGGGCACGAGGTGCTGTGCATCCCTCAGAGCCCAGGGGGTGCTGTGCCAAGCACACCTCCCAGCTCTGCTGGCACACCGGGCACCCTGGCCAGGGATCTAAACCCTCCTGCTTCCCCTGCCCTCCTCCCTGCTCATCAAAACCAAACCAACAGGTAGCAAAGCAACTTTCAGCTGCCAGAACACAACATTTCTGTCAGACTTTGCCCTTTTTTTACAGAATCACAGAGTCGTTTTGGTTGGAAGAGGCCTTGAAGATCATCAGTTCCAACCATTAACCAGCATGCCAGGTCCATCACCAAACCACATCCCCAGCACCACATCTCCACGGCTCTGAAATCTTCTGCAGCACAATGTGAGAACTTAACTGACCATCCCCAGTTCCTCTGCTGTGACAAGTGCAGGCAGCAACCTGCCTCTGCCCTGCTGGTGCCTGGCCTTGGTGGCCTTAGCACACCCACCTCTGCCCCAGCCCCCCGGCCCAGCAGCAATGTCACAGCTCTGCTGGCACACACCCTGCCACAGGAGACCTGGGAGGAGGGAGGAGTCACCCAGCTGAAGGTTTGGTGGGATGAGTAAAAGGATGAGTAAGGAACACACTGCAAAGATGCAGATTCTCTCCCTGGAAGGTGACTGAGGGCTGCCTGAACCCAGCAGAGGAGGAGGAGCTGCTGCCATGAAGGGCACAAGTAGCAGAAGCCCTACCTGGGAGCAGCTACAGCCCAATTTGGAGGCAATTTGCCACGTGGATGGGTCAGCGACCAGAAGATGGTGAAGAGGGTGGCTGGAAGTGGTTTTACTCTGCCCCTGTTGCCACATGTGCAGCCTGCTGCCCCTGGAATCTTCTGTCCCAAGCTCTGGACACAGAAAATTTGGGTAAA